ATGGAGATACATAGAAGCTTTGTGGATGTACAGGGTAACACTGTGACTCCTCAAACACCCACTTACCAAAGTACATAGAGAGATGCCTTGATAATGCGTCGTGCCGAAAACTGCTGTAGACAGAGATGTAAACAAAGGTTTGCTTGCTTCGGTAGGACTGATTGGATAGGATATTTACAGACTGTGCTGAATGTCATTTACATGTAATGAAATAAAAATACGAGACACCTGGTATATGTCATCCGATTGTGCCATGCCAAGTCCTGAGATAGACTGGGTTAAGAGCACACACTGAGATGTCATCAGAAAAATTGTACCTAAGCCATTGGCCTACTTAAGAGGGAGAACTGGAAGAGGGACTTGATCTCTCCATCTCTCAATGTCTTCTTTTATAAATGGGAACTGAAATATTGCCCCATTTCCTCTTTTGCAGGGCAACTGTGAAAATGAGATTATCCCTATGAAAATGCTCTTACCAAAGAAAGGTTCTCCAGAAAAATCAGATGATGCATTTCTTTTGAAAGCTAAGCACATATTTTCATTATTATATGTAGTATTGCCTGAAAGATTACATTGTTTCCTAAAGGGCCATTCACTTTAGGCCATGTTTAGGTTAGACAGTTTGAGGGCTACTGACCTTAGGCCTCCGGGTCAGATGAGGGGTGAGTGATGAGTTAAGTGTCCCCATAGATCTGGTTTCACAATGACCTGATTCCCAGTATGGGATTTCAAAGGATAAGTAAGGGAGAGTGAGGTTGATTAAGTAGGTTTAAAACTACTATCCTATATGAGAACATGTTCTAAGATAATTTCCTTCTCAATCATGGGAATCAAAAAGACAGCATGGACACCTCCTGGATAATCTCATCCTTTTGGATAAAACAGGGCACTCTTCATAAAGCATTGTTTTAAATTGGAGTTATTTTTGTACCTCTTCCCTCTGCTCCCACAATCTTTGAGTCACTATAGCCTACAGAATCTTCCTTTTCAGCACCTCTCACTTACCCACTTGCTGTCTGTATTCCTTAACCACCTCTTTGCACTAGACTACAATAATTTACTTCCTACTCAACTCTCATCTTACAGTCTTCTTTATCAAGTTCAAACCACTCAATCTCTAGACACGTAGTTTAACATCTTTCCCAGCGGTCTTTCCAAAGTCTTCATCTTTGTCATCACTACCCGGTAAGTTACCATTCTCGTGAAGCTGGTATCTTTACTCACAACTTAACAACTTGCCGCTTGTGTTTTAGTTGAATTCTGCTCTGCCCACAAGTGCACTTCCTTTTTGCGGATGACTTCATCGCAACTAACTCATTTCTTCCCTCATCTCTTCAAAGAT